TTTCAGCAGCAGCTGACTTGGGGACGCTTGGGGTTCTTAAGTTGATTGTGTATGTAAGTCAGAGCTGGCGGTCAGTTTCAGCAGCGGCTGAATCTGAACGCCAGTTCCGACTTACATACAAATTCAACTTAAGAACAAACCTACAGTCCCTATCTTGTACGTAACCCGGGGACTGCCTGTACTTTAAAATTGGGTGCTAAAAAATCAACAAACAAAAAAGTCTCAATCTTTTTAAAGTTCTATTCACCTTGTTTCACTGTCAGCATTTGTCATTGGAGGAAAGACCAGCTAATAAGATTATTAGCACGTCTGGTCTCTTTACACTTTTATTTAACAAAAATAAATTAATAAAGCATGTAAACTACATATCTCAATATTATTAGCTTTTCATTATTACTTTTAATGCTTTTAGAGATTCAGTATGACAGTTCTAAGAGTGATGAACAAGCATGAACATATATATATAATCTATTTTTGCCTACCCTTGTTTGGCCTCCAGAGCCGGTCCATCCCGTGTCTCATTAACACTATCCTTGCCAGCTCAGTAAAAGACTCTGTGATGTTGAAGTTGCAAAGAGGGCTAACTTCAAAAAAAGTCATGCCTAATCGCTCAGCATAGGCTTGTGCTTGTTCAGTAGAGACTTGACGCTTGAAGGCTAAATGAAGGCGGTTTCCAACCAGGATTTTAGGCACACCAGGAGCATGCTGAGTGAAGAGAAACAATAACAGATTAGTGTTCTAACCCTTCTCTCCACCCTCCAACAAAATACTGTAAGCTTTATACAATGATTCAGAAACCATGCTCTATTTATGAAGCGTGGCAAGTGGCAAAAGAATGTATGACATGATGGAAAAGGAAGCATCCTCATATCTATAAGAGACAAGGTTGAAATGAGAAATGAAGGGATTATGCTTAGTTTTTGGGAAATGGGGCAGCTGTTATTTCCTCCTATCTATCAAAACCATCTTTTTCCAAAGCTTCCTCATTCAGTTTATTATAGAATACAACATTATACACTTTCAGTTATGCTGCTTCTTTAAAAGCTTAAGTTCTGTACACTCATGGCTAACTTCAGGGCAGAATTATTTGAGGGATATGTCAACACTGCACAGAGGAGGTATGATTTAAGCACATGTAAACATACCCAAGATAGTTTTAATCTAGCTAGCTTGGGTACTAAAGCCATGAAGCTTCTTCATGCCCACCTGAGACCCTGGGCAATTAATCAGTTGATGACCTGCACTGAAGCTTATGCTCACGTAGTTCCATTACTCTCAGTACTTGAGCTACCTATCTTAAAGCTAGCTCAGATTAGTGACTTTTTAAAATCAAGCATGCAATTCTACACTTGCATGTAAAATGGCAACCTCCATGTGGGGCTTGACTTTGCATGAACGGTGTGTGCAAGGTCATGATGTGCAGAAGATGCAATCCTGTTCTACAACGTGTGCATTTGAGGACCAGACATAATCATCCTTTGGGCATACTAGGTCCTGGGGCATGCAATGCATGCCCTGCATACACAGATAGCACATCACTGGTTCAGATATATCAGATTAGATATTTTTCTAAAAGATACGCTCTAGTTCAAACAGAAATTAATGCAGGGAAGTTCTATGATGTGTGTTATGCAGGAGATAAAATTAGACGATCAAAGCGATCCCTTCTGGACTTACAATATGTAACTAAAAAAGAGGAGTGCTGACTAATAGCATTATTATTACAGTATCAAAATCCCGCATCACTTCTGTAGGATCTTTTAAGTCCCTTTTCCTCTTTTACAGAACACATATTTTCATACTACACAGATAAACTGCTTTAAATTGAAGACACTTTGTATTATGAGAGAAGTAGTCACTTTCATTCACACCTCCAGTGTAAATATAGTTTGAGATCTTTGGATTAACAGCACTATAAAAAGTGGTTAAGGCTTTATAAAGAGTGACTTAAGCCTCATAAATCCACATATAAGGTGGGAAAACATATTTTTCATAAGAGAAAATTGAGTCACAGGCAAAGTGATTTTCATAAGTAACACAGCAAGTCTGTGGCAAAATGGTTTCTGAACCTAGGAATCTTGATCTCCATGTTCATGTTCTTCAGTTAGAATCTATAATTTTTTAAGTAAGTGGCCAGTTCACTGTTTCAGTCTACAAGTATTATAAAAATATATGATTGTCATCTCTGATTCCTGTAATGAATTCTGATTGCAGTTACATAGCATAAACAGGTACGTGGAGAACAAAACTAGTAAAACGCATGCTTAATCACTAGTCTTATTGCACATAAGTGATATTCTAGAATTCACCTTACCTCATCTATCTCCTTTATCCATCGATCAATGCCATCAAATGACCAACGATTTGTAATATCATATACCAGTATCACTCCCTACGTAAAAGAATGTTAACATGAATTTTGTTTAATATACAAAATGCATAACAGAGAGTACTGCCTTACCCTACCACCATTCTATTATCTGTGTTAGGATTATGGGGTTTACAATCCTGCCAGATACTGCTTGCCTCTAAGTGGAGTGGAATGAATCTCACAGCATCTTACAGAATCAGCACCTTCATCTCAATCTAGAACTGGATGGGAAGAGAGGATGGAAAGCACTCAACATCTTGCAGGATCAAGCCCAGATTTAGTAGTTTGTGGTCTATGATACTGTAAAATTAAATATGAACATGTCTGTGTGATTTATACATCACAAATCACTCAGGGTATGTCTACACTACCACCCTAGTTCCAACTAGGGTGGTTAATGTAGTCAATCGAAGTTGCAAATGAAGCCTGGGATTTAAATATCCCGGGCTTCATTTGCATCTTGCCGGGCGCCGCCATTTTTAAATCCCCGGTAGTTCGGACTCCGTGCCCGCGGCTACATGCGGCACGGAGTAGGTAGTTCGAATTAGGCTTTCTAATTAGCCTAATTCGAACTACCTACTCCGTGCCGCGTGTAGCCACGGGCACGGAGTCCGAACTACCGGGGATTTAAAAATGGCGGCGCCCAGCAAGATGCAAATGAAGCCCGGGATATTTAAATCCCAGGCTTCATTTGCAACTTCGATTGACTACATTAACCAACCTAGTTCGAACTAGGGTGGTAGTGTAGACATACCCTCAGACATACTGCTTCCAGTAACACTGTAGCATTCAATAATTAAGGGCCCCAAATTCTATGGAGATTCAAATATCTCACTACCAGAAGTAACCAATGTACATTATCACTGTTTACAGCAATACGTTTAGGAGCCTACTCGATGTTTTCAATCTGAAACTAATGAATTGATGTGTCAGAATGCACAAACACCTGAGGAGGCTGTGATGATAAACTGCATTTAAAATATCCAGAGTTCAGGATCTTGACCAAAGAAAGAAAGGAAAACAGCAGAATACAGACCCTGGACTTCAGAAAAGCAGACTTTGACTCCCTCAGGGAACTGTTGGGCAGGATCCCTTGGGACACTAACATGAGGGGGAAAGGAGTCCAGGAGAGCTGGCTGTATTTTAAAGAAGCCTTACTGAAGGTGCAGAAACCATCCCAATGTTCAGTAAGAAAAGCAAATATGGTATGTGACCAGTGTGGGTTAACAGTGAAATCTTTGGTGATCTTAGGGTTAGGGCGATTTTTGGATTAACAGCACTATGGATTAACAGCACTATCAAAGTGGTTAAGGCTTTATAAAGAGTGACTTAATCCTCATAAATCCACATACGAGGTGGGAAAACATTTTTTTCATAAGAGAAAATTGAATCAGAGGTAAAGTGATTTGCTTTAAGTAACACAGCAAGTCTGTGGCAAAATGTTTACTGAACCTAGGAATCTTGATCTCCATGTTCATCTTCTTCAGTTAGAATCTATGCTTTTTTAAGTAAGTTGAAACACAAAAAGGAAGCTTACAATAAGTGGAAACTTAGACAGATGACTAGGGAAGAGAATAAATATATTGCTCAAACATTCAGGGGTATAATCAGGAAAGCCAAACTGGAATTGCAGCTAGCAAGGGATATGAAAGGTAACAAAGAAAGGAGAGTGGTCAGGGAAGGGGTGGGACCCTTCACAGAATCATAGAATCTGCTAAAAGCAGGACCAATCCCAACGAAATCATCCCAGCCAGGGCTTTGTCAAGCTGGGATTTAAAAACCTCTAGGGATGGAGATTGTGCCACCTCCCTAGATAACCCATTCCAAAAGAGGATGGAGAGAGGCTGTTCTCAGTGGTGACAGATGACAGAAGGAGGAGCAATGGCCTAAAGTTGCAGTGGGAGAGGTCTAGGTTGGATATTAGGAAACACTATTTCACTAGGAGGGTGGTGAAGCACTGGAATGGGTGGGGTGGGAGTAGAGGGATCTTGGCTCCCATGGGGGCCGAGCTAGGGATGTTAAGAAGTGGGTATTTCACTAATCGTGTAATTGATAGAATTTTTATCGATTACACAATTAGTCGATAAGGGAAGGCATTCAGCCCTGACTTGCACCAGGTTCAGGAACTACCTCTGCTGCAGCTCTGCAGCTTGCACCAGGTTCGGGAACTACCTCTGCTGCAGCTCTGCAGTTTAAATGTAGTAAGAGCCGGGTGGGCAGGGCTTGCTCAGGTTCCGGCTTCTGCCAGATCCAGCAGCCCCTGTCCGTGGGGGTCCCAGCACGGAGCTGGAATTCCCCTGTAGACAGGGGCTGCTCCCAGAACAGCCTCTGCCTGCAGCAAGCCCAGGCCTGCTGCAGACAGAGGCTGCTTTGCAGCAGCCTTCCCTTGCTCCCCTCCAACGCTTCCTCCCCCACATGCAAACAATACTGTGGACACTTTGTTGGCATTGGTTGCAAACATGTCCACTGTTGGAAAACCCCAATGAGTGAACTCTTGTAGGAGAATGTTAGAGTCTATCTCCCATTCGTGATTGGAATTGACGTTCCTGTTTAGATTGTCTGCAGATGCATTGTCTTTGCCTAGTAGACAGGAAGCCTGAAGGTGTATGCTATGTGGAATGCACCACCTCCAAAGCCAAACAGCTTCCATCCATAGGCAGTAGGATCTGGCTCCTCCCTGGAAATTTATGTAATACATGGTTATCTGATTGTAAATATCTGAACCATGTTGTTACATATAAGGTGAAGAATGTGCTGGCATGAATAAAACACAGCTCTCAGTTCTAGTATGTTTCTGTGCAGGTTGGATTCATCCAGAGACCACCACACCTGTGCCTTGAGGTTGCCTGTGTGCGTTCCTCAGTCGAGTAGAGATGCATCCGTTATAATGGTTATGGACGGTGGCTGTTTGTGGAAAGGTAGTCCAGCGCACATATTTCTTGGGTGTATCCACCAATCTAGGGATTGTTTGACCCTGATCAGGATTGAGGTAAGTTTGTTGATATTGTGGAAATACAGCCTGTAAACAGTTCTCAGCCATAGTTGCATGGGTCTTATATTCAATCTGGCATGCTGTACTATGGAAGTAGCTGCTGCCATGTGCCCTAGCAAATGGAGACAAGTTCTTACAGAGACTTGTGGGCTGGACTGAACGAATGTCACGAGATCTTATATGACTTTGAAACTCTGCTGTGGGAAAGAGGCCACAGCTGCTATACAGTTGAGAGGAGCTCCTATGAATTTTATTTTTTGAGCTAGTTTGAATTTGCATTTGTGTAAGTTTATCTGTAGACCCAGAGTCTGGAATAGTGACCTGGTCAGGGCAGCCACCTCTTCCGCTTTGTGATCTGTGTGTGCTCTTACCGGGCAATCACCAAGATACGGGAATATCTGTCTATGGAGGTGAGCGGTGTCTATGGAGGTGAGCGGTGACAACAGTGAACACCTTGGAAAATACCCTTGGAGCCATGAAGCATCCAAAGCAAAGTACAGTGTACTGAAAGTGCGCATTGTGTACTGTGAATCCGAGGTACTTCCTATGTGCCGGGTAAATGGACATGTAGAAGTAAGCATCCCGGAGGTCGAGGGTCAATAACTAGTTTCTTTTGTGTAAGGCAGAGTTCATTGTAGATAGAGTGACCATCCTGAACTGTTGTGGTCATATGTAATGGTTGAGCCTTCTCAGGTCGAGGATTAGTCTCCATCCTCCAGACTTTCTTGTAGTGAGGAAGCAATGGGGGTAAAACCCTTTGCCTCTGTAGTGCTGAGATATGGGTTCTGTGGCTCCCGGTTGAAGCAGGTGGTTGAGCTCCTGGAGGAGGATGCTCTTGTGAGATGGATCCCTGAACAGGGATGGGGAGGGAGGGTGGGAAGAAGGGATTGACGAAAAGGGGATACAGTATTCATTCTTTATGACGTCCAGTACCCATCTATCCATCATGATGGTGGATCACTGTGGCTTCATCTAGATTGCATCCCTTTTTCGGAAAAGGGAGGCAAATTAGATGTATCACAATTGCTAATGAAGCGGAGATTTAAATCTCCCCCGCTTCACTAGCATAAAAATGGCTGCTGCTTTTTTTCGGCATGGAGTTTTGCCGGAAAAAAGCACCGGTCTAGACGCGGATCTTTCGGAAAATAAAGCCTTTTCCGAAAGATCCCTTAAGGGATTTCATAGAGGGATAAGGGATCTTTTGGAAAAGGCTTTATTTTCCGCAAGATCAGCATCTAGACTGGTGCTTTTTTCCGGCAAAGCTCCGTGCGGAAAAAAAGCGGCAGCCATTTTTAAGCTAGTGAAGCGGGGGAGATTTAAACTCCCTTTTCTGAAAAAGGGATGCAATCTAGACGTAGCCTGTGAGTAGAAGGGTGCAAGACATCTTTGGAATACCGGGTGTACATCTGGTTGCCTTAAATAGAGTTGTGTTACCTGACCCTTGACCTGAACTTCAAGATGTTTGTCTCAAAGTTGAAGGTTGAGACGTGGAGGGTTGGTGAAACCTCTGTCTACACCTGTTTTGGCACTGTCTTCTTTTGGCCTCATATTGTCTTTGAGGCTGGTTAAAAGGCGTTGGTTTGTATTGTTGGTGTGAAGTACTTTTCCTGTTTTCTTTTTGTTACAGGGACACAAATGCCCAGTGTTTCTAGAGAGTCACGCAAATCTTTAAGGGAATGGAGGGAGGCATCCATTGTGTCAGTGAAGAGCTTTGATCCCTGGAACAGAATATCTTCCACTGCAGCCTGAACTTCAGAGGGAAACCCAGACGGGGAACCAGGAAGCTCTCCTCATCATGACTGCTGTGGCGATGGAACGGGATGCAGTGTTGGAAGCATCCAGGGCTGCTTGGAGAGTGGTGCAAGATATCAGAGCGCCCTTTATGTTAGCTTTAAATTGTTCCCTCTTTGTATCTAGGAGACTCTCAATAAACTGTGATAGATGTTCAAAAATGTGGTGTGTGTATTTTGCGAGCAGAGCCATGTAGTTTGCAATCCTTAATTGAAGGAATGCAGAGGAATAAGCCTTCCTGCCCATGATATCCAGGCATTTCCACTTTGTCATAGAAGGTGGTTCTAACTGCGTTCTGTTTCCCCCTTTGGTTAACCACATCAACCACTAAGGGGTTTGGGGATGGATGAGAAAATAGAAAATCAGCACCCTGTGGTGCTACATAGTATTTTTGGTCTGATCTCTTACAGATCAGTGGGACAGTGGCGGATGTCTGCCAGATCACTTTCACAGGGCTGGGTCCATAGAGAGTGCTAATTTAGCTGAAGGAGAAGCATGAAGGATGCTGGTCAATTTGTTCTGGGTCTCAGGAAGATTCACTAGACGCGGTGGTTCCCAAACTTTTTGGCATCACGCCACCTTTTTTATTTTTGAGAAACCCTCATGCCCCTCCTCCCAAAAAAATAGCAGCAAAACTTGGGGTGGGATTGACAGGGGTGTGTGTGGCTGGGTCGCCTTGCACCTCCCCTGGAATTTATTCATGCCCCCCAGGGGGGCACACCCTCTAGTTTGGGAACCCATGAGACTTCCAGCACATCTGCCACCCTCTTATAGAGTTATTGGAATGATTTGAAGTCAACTCCAGCTGTGGGTGGAGAGGCATCAGCGTGTCATCCGGCGGCGAAGATGAGACGTGTGGATGGTGTTGAAGAGGCAGAAATCACCTCTTCGCTAGAGCATGATTCCTGATCATCTTGGTATGCTGACCTGTCAAGGGAGAGTACAGAAATAGCCCAAAATGGGGTCAACAGCAGCACCTGAGGTTGTGGCTGCTATTATTGCTGAGCCAAGTAAAGGGCTCAAGGATTCCAGTAGGGCCAGTTGGCAGGCAGGTGGCACTTGCTGCTGTTTCGGAGAAGAATGCCTCGGGGTATGGGTACTGACTCTAGGCTCTTCGTCCTCGTTGCTGGAAAGCAGAGGTACCGATCCTGCAGGTGTAGAGAGACTGAACCTGCTTGATGTAGGTGTACCGTCAGTACCAAAGAGTGAAGTTGTCGGTATGAAGGTTACATGCCACTCCTCAGCTGTAGTAAAATGCTGTGGTACTAAGGTTATCGGTGCCAGAGGCAGTGCCAAGGCTGATGCCCCTGGACTCTGCAGTGCCATCGGCGCTGTGTGTTTATGCTTTTTCGGTGCCGGAGTCAGCATGGGTGTCGATGGCGCTGAAGAGGATCTTGGCTTCTTCAGAACCAAAGACACATCAGAGGGTGCCGGTGGCATCGACTTGGACTTATTCTTTTCAGGCCCCTGGGAACCCATCTTAGCAAGATCTTTCGACCCTCAAGACCCATCGGTGCTTGATGGTACCAGTACCTCTCTTCCCATGCCTTAGTGCAGGTGCTGTAGACATCTTTGGTGTTTGACCCTGTTTTTCTGAAGGGAATTCACCTCTGGCTGCTGAATGGACTCTTTTCCTCGACTATTGGTCAGAGGCAGAGTCTTTGGAACCTGAGCCCGAAAGAGCAGTCTTCTCAGATATCGCCACAGAGGAGAGTTGCCTTGGTGATGTTGAGTGCTCTGGGTCTGAAGCTGGCTGCACCATGCTTTCAAGCAAGAGAAGTTTCAGTTGTAGTTCTCTTGCCTTCCTCGTGTGAGTGGTTAGTTGTTTGTAGTGCTGGCACTGGGCGACAATGTGTGCTTGGCCCAGGCACCGGACACACTGTGAGTGCCCACTGAACATGGGGATTGAAAGCCTGCAAGACAGGCAAAGTTTAAAACCAGGGGAACCAGGCATCCCAGGGAAGGAAGACGGCCAAGTAGAAAAAAGGGCCGTAACGATCAAAGAAAAAAAGTTGTGTTTTTTTAAACTAACTAACAATAATGATTAACTATTTATCCATGAAAAACTACAACAATACTACTCTAAGTAAATCTAACTAACAATTTTAAGAACAAATTTTTGAAAAAGTTGGAGGTAGCTATCAGTTCCATCAGTTGGCAGAGAAGGAACTGAAGGGACAGTTGGCTGCACATGCAAAGTAGCTACACCGGCACGTGCTGGCTGCTCCGTGTGCACAGCCTACCAAGGGCACTGCTACCTAAAATCTCTGACTAGAGAGACAGTGGTGCCCCAGAGACCTAAGGTGGAGCATTCACAGAGACACTCTTCGAAGAAGAGCTGAAAGTACTAGTCCCTAGTGCTTGAGCTAAAGGGGGAATTACTTTGGGCATTAACAGATTGTTGTAGTTATTGGGGTCTCCTGGGAGGACTAAGATTGTGCACCAAGCCACTGTGTTCCCCTCCCTCGGACAGCCAGGCAGCCAACACCAGCTGCCCTAGGCATGCAGTTGGCTCCAGCGTTGGGAAGGCAGGATGAGGAATGCCCTGAAGTTAGGGAGGTGGAGTGAGTTCTGGAGTGGCCGAGGGGACAGGGCATTTGCCTGGGGGAGGGCTCGAGTCCCTGCTCCCTGCCCACCATGGGAGCATCCAGACAGCCAATACTGGCTGCCCCAGGCATGTATCTAGCTCTGACAAGATAAGGGACCCTCTGAAGGCAGGGAGGTGGGCTGGGTTCTGGAGTGCCTATGGGATAAAGCATTTACACTATAATTTCCTAAATTTAATCTTGGTCTTTATTTACTTAATAAAAAAGTAAGAGATACTGTCTCTTTGTTGAGGTTGAATTTTGTTTCTTTCCCCCAAGAGAACCCTGTGTTGTATTCAGAAACATCCCAGAATCTTTGTGCTAATTTACTTTATACAGTGAACTTTAAGAGCCAGTGCAATAAGGTTCAATACTCTTGTGATATATCTTTACCAGCTCTACATTCATTCATCCATCATCCACCAGCATTACACAGTACAATGAAGATAGCTTTGAGCTTACCTGAGCGCCTCTTGAATAGGAACGAAATATGGTACAGAATCTCCCTTGTCCTGATGTATCCCTAAACAAAATAAGTTACAGGATATTAAGAGAGGCAGGCAACTTCTTATGCTAAGAATTAGTTTTTAACAGCTCATACACATTCCAGCTCATACTAACCAGACAATATCATTTTCTGATCTCTCAAGCCTGGTCTACACTGGGAGTTTAGGTCAAACTTAGCCGCATTAGACTGATGTTCTAAACAATGAGTCCACTCCACTAAGCCTGTTCTGTCAACTTTAAGGACCACTAAAGTCGATTTTGGTACTCCTGCTTTTCACAAGGAATAATGGTAAATTTGACCTTGCATGGTTAACTTTAGTACAGTGCAGATGCAGTGCTGTGAAAGTTGATGTTCTTGGCCTCCATGACATATCCCACAGTGCTCTGTTGTGACCACTCTGGCCAGGACTTTCAACTCTGCTGCTCTCTGTCAAGCCTGGCCCCCCTTCCTTCTCCCGCCCACATGCTCCTGCAGGAAGGGAAAGTTACACTCTTCTACTATATGGGAGATGCAGACCAATTTTCCCATATGATGTAGGAAAACATTTTCCCCAAATCCTAGGCTAGTGCCTGACTTAATCACCAGATCATTTTTCATTCCTTTGCTAGGAACTTTCAGAGTGCAGAAGACAATACCTGCCCTGAGAAGTTACAGTCAACTGACTATATAGTTTAAAAGGCACTGAGGAAGAACAACGGAACAAATACATACCACAGCTGTAGTTTTATTCGGCGGCCATCCAGAAGTATCGTCGTCGTCTTGTAATCAATACCTGGAAAAAGTTTTTGTTTAGAATTGGAATTTTTGACTACCTGCACTAAGTACAATGTCTAGACATATAAATCTTTAAAAGAAGTTAACAAGAAGGAACAAGTATATCCATTAGGGCAATGTGTATAGGCAAAACACATTGGCTGCGTCCAGACTGGCAAGTTTTTCCACAAAAGCAGCTGCTTTTACGGAAAAACTTGCCAGCTGTCTACACTGGCCGTTTGAATTTCCACAAGAACACTGACTTCCTACTGTCTGAAATTAGTGCTTCTTGCGGAAATGCTATGCTGCTCCCGTTCGGGCAAAAGCCCTTTTCCGGAAATGCTTTTGCGCAAAAGAGCCAGTTTAGACAGCTGAAAACTGTTTTGCGCAAAAAAGCCCCGATCGTGAAAATGGCGTCTAGTGGCGTCTTGTGCAAAACTGCGTCTAGATTGGTACGGATGCTTTTCCGGAAAAGCGTCCGTGCCAATCTAGATGCTTTTTTCCGCAAATGCTTTTAACGGAAAACTTTTCCGTTAAAAGCATTTGGGGAAAATCATGCCAGTCTAGACGTAGCCATTCTGTGGATTTGAAGTTATGGAGACCTCAAAGTATGAGTGTCATCTTCTCATTCAGGAGCACATTTTCCCAGCTCCTTGTGATGGGCCACCTCTTTTCCCATTCACAGTTCTACAACATTCTTGCGGCAATTACACCAATTGATGACATGGAACAGTGGAGATATGTTCCAAAAGTTTCATCCTTCTTGAAAAATAGAGGAAAATAACACTGTGTTCTTCCCTGCCACCTTGTCCTCTTTACAAATGCAGATGCTGCCTATAAAAGTCTGGCATTGCAAGCTTCCAAAGGGTTAGGGCCACTTGCTTCTCAACTATCAGAGCAGGTTTTATTCTGGCATTGCTACACGTCAGAGTGTGGAAAAAGTAATTCACAAAGTTCCATGAAAGCGACCTTATGCATACAAGAGTTTTGGCGCTGTTCGAACTGGCCTACTTGTCCAGACTGCTTCTGGAAAGTTCCTGCTGGTTCTAGGCCAGCCCCTGCCAGTTTGCCCAGGGAACAGAGACCTACTTAGTCTAAGGCTTACATACTTTCCTTCTAGCACTTTTTTGTAACCCTCTGACCTGTCACAATTTATATTTTTTGTTAGTCTCTAAGGTGCTACAGGACCACTTGTTTTTTTTAAGTTACAGACTAACATGGCTACCCTTCTGAGATTTTTCTATGAAGGTATATTACTTTTTTTTCTGATTTTAGAAAAGCCTACCCTGGATACCATTTAACCTGTTTTAACTGGTCACAGCACTGGCAGTGTAAGATATGAAACTGAATTATAGTTCATATATATATAAACAGCTAGTAACAGAATCTGAATTTCTCTACAGTTAGCATTAGTCATTGCAACTTTTGAAAGGTAAAGGCTTTTGCCATGAGTCATCAGGAACAGCATACAACTATAACAATGAGACCAATAGGTGTTGACTGTGTGGTTGAACAAGTGTAATGTTCTTCCAGAACATTATTCATTCATCTACTGTCTAGCTTTGTTTGGCTTCAGCTTCAAGAATATACAGCCTGAAATCTATTTTTGTGGAATAGAGAGAGGTGAATGAGTATGTTTGAGCAAAAGCATACTATCAGTGCCAGCAGCAATATGGTAATTTGTTTCTTCAGCTTCCTTTTATGCAATATGGATTACAAAAAAGCTCTCCATAATTTCTACTGAACAAATCTGGATTTATTAGAAGAAAAAAAAGTCCTTTAACTCCGCTGAAAGTTTTAGTTTTAGTTTTGCTTTTTTAATTGTAAGCATTTTAATTTGTTGTACATTTTCAATTGTTAAAGCTCTGGCCCAATTTGTGAAACAAGGTACTTTAACTCCAAGTCACACTTTGGAATAATTATGCCTTATTAAGTATTTGCATCTGCAAAACAGTAGAGAGAGTCTGGAACAGAATTACCTTGAAAAATTCAAGTACAGCAACTATATCATTCAAAGATGCGGGCATCAGAGGAAGGTCATTGACAAAGTGACAAATTAAGGAAGGAGCGTAAAGTTAAATGTGCTTATAAACAAGTTTGGGAAGGAGCTTAAAGTTAATCATGTGCTTATATACCTTGCTGAACTGTGACATACAGCTGAACAATTTCTTAGCTATAATTATTCGTTTGAAACATATCTTTTTTTTTTTTGTAAATCATACTTGAACTGCTCTCAGTTTCGATTAACAGTTATTTGTCACTATTCGCTGGATAGTTTGGAACAAAATTTTTAAACTAATGGATTGTTTGTGCTCAACCGTTCAACTTAAATACTGTTTTTATAATTTGTGAGGTGTGAGAATCAGGTATTCTACACCGTATTTTTTTCTGCTATTTGGCTAGATGGCAAACTTTTAAATAAAAGGGAGAAGAAAAAAATCAGATAAACAGCGAACACTTGTGTTTGCACTCTACTGCCCTTGCTCACACACTAACACAGGTATCCATTTAAAGCGTAGACCATTCCTCCCCAAACAAGAGTCACATGAATGATTTCAAAAAGCAAACAAGGCAGAACAAACATAGTTAAAACAACACAAAAAAAAGACCCAAGTTCTGTCACATAAAGCTTCATTAAAGGTGCAGTCGATTACTTTAGAACAGATTCTCAAACTGGGATCCATGGATGCCTTTCAGGTGGGGTGGGGCTCAAGCTCAGCCCTTCTTCCCTCCTCCCACAGAGGGGAGGCTGCACTGGCAACTCTAGCCTGTTGCCCTCCCCCTCCCCCCACGAGGTTGGAGCACCAGTGCCAGCTTCCTGCTGGGCGGGGGGAGGAAGAAAGCCCCAAGTCTCACTGCTGGATCCACCTTGCGTGGAAGAAACAGAGCCAGAAGCAGCTCCATGCACTGCCACTCCCTCTTCCCTGGCTGGGGGAACAGCAGCACATGATACGCTGCCTGGAGGCTTTCCCCGTTGCTCCCATTGGTCTGAATCCAGTCAATGGAAGCAGCAGGAGCTTGTTACCTACCAGCTCTGTGCTCTTGGGGAGGCAGGGAGTCACACTCACGGAAAACCATTCCCCTCCCCCAGGCCTCTGCTAGAATCAAAGACAAAACAATGAAAAGGCTAGGGAAGACACACTTAAACTAATTAAGGAAACACCCCAGCCTCATCTGCATTGAAGATAGAACAGAGAGACATCTCCATTAGCATACAGAATGGAGACCAGCTCTTCCAAAGCAGGAACTGCACTGAACTATGGGATACCGAAAACAGAGAAGCACTGCTTGATGGGAAATCTTAGTCATTATCAGACCAATTCTAGTAATGGATCCTATTGACGTCCAAAATACTGAAACTGCCTAGTTACATTGTGAGCTCGTTCAAGGAATATCACCCATAACAAGGTGTGAGCAGTCTCTGTTGTCTCACCTCTGTCTACCCATAAACAAATCCAGTGCTCTCTTCAAACTATTGTCCCATCCCTATAAAAACTCCTACCCTTTCCCAAGAAAAACTGTTCTTATACCTGGATTTAAACTTCATCAGTTCCATTGAAACGTCTTCATCTCCTGTCTGATCGTGCTGGGGGCTCTTCTCTGCTTGTCTCCTCCCCTCTAGACCCCTGGCTCCCATCACCCTCTGTGATGGTGCAAGCTCCACGGAGTGGTGAGGTCTCTCTCTCTCTCTCTCTCTCTTCCCCTCCTCCCGCCACCAACTACCTCTCTCTAAGCATAGCCTCCTGACTCTGCCCTATGTAAACTGTTATATGGTTTGCTAGCCCTAACATTTGTAATCAGTTTCAATTTAGATTTAATATTGTAACTGTTTTGTGTGTTTGGCTATATATACCCAGAAATAAATAACTTTCATTATTAAGCTGGTTGCTCTCTCTTTCTTTCTCTTTCACTCACTCTTACTCAAGGGGTGTTGTTTTGGCTTCCCCATTCACTCTGCAACAATGCTTCTTGCACTCAAACTAAAGATACCTGTAGTACCCAAAATCCTGTGGGGTTTGCTCATGGTGTGGTTTACCAGTGAATGATTGTGGTGTGAGAGTGGGGACAGGGAAGTGCTGAACCTGGGGGCATATGAGGATGGCAGCTTAAAGTGCTGTTTAATCCAGCCCACTGAGTCCAAAGGCACATGAGGGTGCAGTGTGGCATTGCTGTTAAACCCAGTCTGCTGAGTCCAGGGACATATGAGGGGTCAGCTTGGGAGTGCTGAATACCCAGGCCTTTCAGACGAGCTCTGTTAGTGGGTGTGAGCGCCTGTGTGTGTTGCTAAGCTAGGAAGAACCCCGTCCTGAGGAACCTAGTTTCTGCAGGAGAACTCCAGTGGGAGGCAGAATTGGCAGCAAGGAGATTCAGCTCCGTATGAGAGCACAAGGAAGCACAAGCACCACACTGATAGAATTGTTAATCTCCCCCCAGCCCCACAAGAGTAACCCTAATAAATGAGCATACTCCAGAGTATTGAGCAAATCTGGTAACAAGGTGGTGCTTGGGACACAGTCCCCAGGAGAGGAGGAGGGGTGCAAAGGCAAGCAAGTGCCCCTTTCTCCTCATGCCCAGACCCTGCACCCCCTCACTCACCTTCCCACTAAGACCCCAAACCCCCAGACCACTCTTGCACCCTCCCCGATAGCTAGGCACCCTCCCCTCTGCCTGCTCCTGCACCCTCCCTCCAGGCTAGACACCCTACCCTCACCCTTGCTCCTGCACCCTCCCTCCTGGCCATACACTGCCCATTCCCTTGTTCCTGCCCTCTCCCCCTGGCCAGACACCCTACTCACAGCCTGCTTCTGAACCCCATCTCCTGCCCAGATCCTGTATCCCTATCCCATTTGCTGGCTGCCCTGTCCCACACACTGAAAACCTGATTTTTGGCCCCACCACAGAGCCCAGGGGGAATCCACAAAATCTACAAACCCCATAAGAGTTAATCTGACCTATGGGAAACTCTGAACTTCAGTCCTGCTCTCCCTGCCCCTCCAACCTCATAGGGCTAGAGCACCA